TGGAATTCAACTCATCATTTTATGACAACAATAGCGGATTCTGCATCTCAGAGCTCCTCCTGAACCATGTTTTATGCATAAAACAAATGCTTCAGGTCACGAATTGTATCAAGAGCGGCATTCAAGAAATAGAAAATAAATAATAAAATTAAAAATTCCCCAACTGAAACCATATTCCATCTCAGCATCCCTCGTTCATCTCGTTCAACCACGTAACCTGGGCCCATTTCTTTTTCCTTTGGAGAGATTTCGGTGGTTGAATATAGCCGTGTTCAGCCCTGAGTCTTGCCGTCTAACGCAACACTTTCTTCTACGTGTTTGGTCATCACAGAGGATACGTTTTTTAAAAAGAAAAAAATATTTAATCAGAGAAAGGACTCCCTCTCCCCCTCCCCCCTCAAGTCGGAGGATTATTGATGGCTTTATTATATGAATTAATATGAATATGAATTTATTGCATGCACATCCATTGCCACCTTTTGTAGGCGACAACTTTTGTCTCATCACGGTGCACGGCAGACACCTTTCGTTTTTTGTGCTTCCAGCCGACATCAGAGTGTTTATAAGTGGTCACGCACAGCTCAACCGATCAATAACTTCCCCTCACTTTAGAAAATCGCTTAAACAATCACTTCAACTGGAACCACATGGATGCACAGGAGGCAATCTGTTATCTTAAACTCCTCTAGTCTCAAACATGTTGTCACTACTGTGAAATACGGCATTATAGCACATAACCCCAAATCCTCCTTCAGAGTGAATGAATGGACTAACAAGCTGCATTCTCCGAAGTGACCAGCAGGGGGCGACTCCACATGGAAAAATGACTCTACGTCTCTCTCTTACACAAATACAAAGAAATCTCAACAAGTGTGCAACAAAATGTATTTATTCACAGTTGGTTAAAGCGCAGATGTTACATTTGTCCATTTGAGACTGACGAAGCCACTGAAGAACTGCATTCTTTCCACTGACCATAGAAGTCAATGGACCTATAGAAGTCAATGACAAAAATGACTCTACTTCTCTCTTGATTTATTCCCTCAGTAGACATTATAAACATGATGTTATGGTCTCAATCTTTAGTTTCAAGTCTTCTTCAATGCAGCATGATGTTCATTTAGTGAATTATGATCCATGACCATAAAACAGATTAACAAAAGGGGGACAAACAAAGGATCCAGAATTGTGTTAGTAATAGTAATACTGATAATGTTCACAGTAACATAAATAATTATGGTATTAGTAATTCTAAACTCGCTGGCCACAAGTGTCTCTCCTCTGCAACGCTGGCTGAATTTGCAGAGACAGTTTGGTGTTTGGTCCCAGTCTCTTTCTCACTCTTTCCCTCTCGCTCCCACACACACACACACACACACAAACACTCCGCCCAGATGGCGGAGAAGCCACTCAGTCGCAGCTCTTATCTTTGAAAATTGCTCATGTCTGCACGTTGAAAATACCTTCTGCTGCAGTCTTTGACTCTCTGGGGAGGCAAGCAGACACGTGTTTGTGTGTGTGTGTGTGTGTGTGTGTGTGTGTGTGTGTGTGTGTGTGTGAAAGCATTATAAAGACTCACAAAGGAAGGGAAGCCGGTGTGTGTCTGTGCATGATTGCCACAGTGGGGAGTATGTCAGCTAGTGTTTGTACACTTGTGAGATTCAGGATTGCGCAGGATGCTGGGACATGTGAGTGTGTGTCTGTCTGTGTCTGTCTGTGTGTGTGTGTGTGTGTGTGTGTGTGTGTGTGTGTGTGTGTGTGTGTGTGTGTGTGTGTGTGTGTGTGTGGACCAGATCTGCAACAAGCCAACTGTGACCGGCTCTAATAGCTCTGGAACACGCCGCTGCTCGTGTGTGTGTGTGTGTGTGTGTGTGTGTCTTTCTGCTCCGTCTCCGAGCCGCTCTCCTCCGCTGCCAACGCCGCCGGAGCGAGACGGGTAGAGGAGGAAGATGGCCGAGAGACGCCACCGACGGGAAGCCTTCAGCCGACAGAAGGCAGTAGATTGGAGCCGGTTGATGAACCGGGGGGCGGGGCGGGCCCACTGAGACGCCCCGGATTTCATGTGAGGGCGACGGGGACTGAGAGCGAGGTGACCAGGATGCAACTCAGCAGCTCGCCCAAATACACACTCTTTGTTTCAACAGAGGCCGCGACCTTTTCCTTTCTGCAAATAAAATGAAAACGGTTCAGTGCTCAAATAAAGTAACAAGTATCAGGCGTAAAGCGTGCGTCTGGTTGTGCTTTTCGCGCGGGTCCAGTCATCGGCGTCCTGTGTTTGTCCGGCTGTCAGTGGTCGTTCTCGCACACTCTTTATTCTCCACAGACTTTGCTCACACAAAGAGTAGAACACGATCCACAGTGCCCCCCCCCTGCCGAGTGTCTTTGAGCTGGTTGCCACTTATCTGTGGGCACAATGGATTCTTGCATTGACAACGCCGACAGTGTGAAGCCTGATGATCGGCCCCAACTGCCATTTCGTCCTAATTCACGCGTTCTCTCTCTCGACCGGCCGGCGGACGACTCGTTTTAACCTGCAGCCACGGCCGGAAGTGGCTGATGCTTCTCCTCATTGACGGACATTTGAAGAAGGGAGAACCATCGATCCCATCCCCTCTGGAAGCCGTTTGTGAGGAAAGAGAGATCGTTGTCTAGACATTGTGGGAGGTTTAATGGCGAGAGCTATTGGATAGGCGATAACGCGCTCGTGTCGCAGCGCACTAAGGACCCCTTTACACCGGACTCCTTCAACCCGGTTGGTTGGTCATGCAAGGGAGTTACCGGTTATCTTTCCCACCCTTTGATCCTTTGGAGGAGTGCGTGGGAAGTTGTTATAAGGACTAAGAAAGGCCTTTCTTTCTTTAAAACCTGCACTTACACCACACACACAGGAAATAGAATAAAGGCCTCAACCTTGCAACACATGAAATCAAATCTCTCTGGGCTGCGGTCGTCCTTCTCGTCCATCAACACGCTCATAACTCATGGCGGCGGCGTCCTGCTAGCCCTCCCACCGCGCATCATTTGTAATTATGCAAAAAAGGTCCTCTCTCCTCGCACGGAGCAAAGCAATTTTTTCATGCAAATGGCTGAATTCCCCCGCTGGCCGCGTGCTGATTATCGGGCTGATGATGAGTGGCGGCGGGGGACATCCGGGTCGCCACGTGCGACGGCCTCGACGGAAAAAAAAAAAAAAAAAACGATCGGCTGAGCGGCAGAAGCGTCCTGGCGGCGAGAGTCCCGTAAGTGAAGCAGTTGCATCAGGAAAGATCTGAGCGGGTGATTTTTTATTTTTATTTCAATAACTTAATAAAGATCAAGGTTTAAAAGGAGCGAGCTTGATACGCAGCTGGAAAAGTTTTAAAGTTAAATAACAAAACCGAAGAAGAAATACCCCCCCGTTGACGCTCACACGGGACGCATCCATCGGCCTCCTGGCTGAAAGTCCTGTGTTGGTCCAACATCCATCCAACAGCTCAGCGCCGGTTCTTCCTTCGTTTGTTTGTTTGTTTTGTTTGTGTAAAATCACCACTCACAGTGAAACGCTGACACTTCAGAGCGGATGAGCAGCTTCCACTGACCCCTGAGCAGCCGCAGGATATCGGTGTTTCTCGGAGAACGATGTACGAAATGGGAAACATTTGAAATATCTGATCCCGGTGCCGGCAGTGACTCAGGACCTCCGAGCGTCTGAGTGCGCGATGCTGCTGTCGGGGAGAAAAAAGTATTGTTTGTTTTTTCTGCCTTCTCCGCTTGTATTGAAAGTTCTCTGTATTGAAAGTTATTTGCTGAGTGAGTTTCAAGACCCTCGGAGGACCTTGAAAACCGGTAAAATTTCCATTCTACATTTTCAAATATGCCTACGTGTCAAAGGGAATATAAGCATCCACTATTTCCTCATTTAAGCAAACTCCATGTTTTTGCAAATCAGTGTAGGAGTGTCATTTATTTCTCTTCGGCATCAGTGGCAAATTGATGCTTTTATTGATGATGTAATGACCAAATGTCTTCTGTATCAACGACGCCAATCAAAAACAAGATTCCTCTTTAACTTCTTGATCTTATAATGTACCAACGACAAACCGATGTAGATGTTTTTTTTTAAGTGAAAATCCTGCAAAACGATTTATACAAATTGTTTTGCAGGATTTTCACTTAAAAAACCCTTCTACATCGGTTTTATTTTTTTAATTTTATCCCCAAATCCCCATGACGACCCGAGCATCTCTGCATGAATGTAGCACACTTAAGCAACTTATAGCACCTAAGAGGCTCTAAATCCACTCACATTGAAGAAAGCAACATCTCGCTGAATCGATTTTACGACTTCCTACTAAGTCAACACAAGCTTAAGTACCGAGAGCCTTTTCTCCACAATCAATACCAAAACTGATGTTTCACCTGAATAAGAAAAAGCTATTCGTTCGTCTAAAAAGGCGACGGTTGAGTAATGATGTGAAGCTGCTGTCGTGCCGCCACGTTGAGAGGAAAGTACACCTTCCCTTTTATCAAAAAAGCAGCACCACAGGACATCAACATATTACCTATTTACTTGCACTGAAGTACGGACTCTAGTCCCCAAACATGCATTTCGTATCTGTGTACGACCCTGTGAAAAAAGATGCGGATGGACCTCAATTTGAGCAGATTTACTGGTGTTATGCTAGCGTTAGCGTCGAATATAGCATCAGATCGATTCACACATGGTGCAGCGCCCGTTCTCTGTCCGGATCGGTTTCAGTGTTCCACCGCCCGGTTTGGACGGCCTCGGCGGTACGGGTTGGCTCCTCCCACTGGGCGTTCAAGTGTGAAATGGTGAGCGAGAGGTGGATCCTCACGCTGGATGAACGCCTGAACAAAAAAACATTGATTTGGTGGAAGCGCTCGGTGCTCCAACAAACAGATGTTTTTGACGCCCACCCAGATGGTAGAAATGATCGTGCACAATTACTCCCCGAGTTTCATAAACGGCGGTAGAAAAAACAACAACAAAGGAGTCAGGATTGCTTTACAACACTAGTTGGACAATGATACTTTATTCACAATTTACACCAATAGAACAAAATATCTTGTGTGTCAAAACGTGGTGGAGTGTGTGAACATCGGGGGAATGTTATTTAAAGTCAAATCTCACATGAAGAAAAGCCTTTTCTTTTCAATGCGGTTGAACATATTTCCACATTTTCATAACGGCTCGGTTTCTATAAAAAGGCGGGAACGTTTCCGTCCCACCAGCTGTTTCCTGCAGCGCGTTTGACTGCGACGTTTCCAACAGCGCGGCAGCAGCTTTGCTGCAGCGTTGCATCAGCGGGGATCCGCTCCGTCCAGAGGTGATAACGCTCGACGTTCTGCACCGCGTCGTGGTCGTGGCGCATCGATGCTACGAAGTGGACGTCTGCTAAGATCGTCTGGCGGCCACGTGAATGAAAGGAGCCATGCACTAGTAGTAATAGTAAGGAAGTAGGAATATTGGTTATTCAAATTAGTTTGTTAACTTAAAGCTAGAATTTGATGGCTTGCATTTAAAACTGTGCAATGTCTTATGTGATTTTCACAAGGGCATCTTAAGATGTTTGTTGTGTTTTGCTCAGTTCATTTTTGAGTTCTCTTTAATGCGTAGAAACGTATCTCTAAGCCCCAGGGGATTATGGGTAATTATGGGCATCTCTTTGCAACTCGTGTTTGGAAAACCAAGAAAAACAAAGTGATCTCCTCGCTGATGCTGGTGTCTGAAAGTCACCATAACCGTCCCATAAACAGGCTATTTGACCAGTGAGTCTGCTGCTCACGAGGTGAATGTTAAATCAAAGCGTCGATGGATGAAGGCTGATCCCACGTGATCTTTCTCACTGGGCTTCTTCTCCCCTTGTGTGAGTGCTCTCGACGATGCATGAAGGCTTTGTAATGTTTGTCTGCTTTCTGAGCAGCCGTTGGCTTCCATTCGTTTTCATACAATATGAGCAGACTTCTCAAATCGTCTGCATATAATTCGAATTGACTATTTGGTTCAAGCTCATTTATTTTTCGTGTTAATTTGGTGGTAAAACTGATTTGAAAAGTTCACTCCGCGTTATCAATTTTTCTCCCAGTCAATTATGAATGGAAATAAATGGCTGCCTGCAGCGAGGAACACAGGAGGACGATTACAGCGCGAAACGGGAAGAAACAATAACCTTTAATGCACAAAGATGCTTTTGGGGAAAAACCAGCTGACGAGTTTCACCGACTACTTTTAACGCGATGGAGCTTCAGCCGCCGTCCACGTGCAAACCGCCCGTCGATGCTACGCAGGACTGATAGTCAGACGCCAGAGCATCCTCAGAGGCCGCGTGCTCGCCATCGTTCGTGAGGGACTTTCATGAGTCGACCTTTAACCCCACGGGTTAATCTGCTGCAGTGAGGCCGTTTCCTTCTCCTGCGTCGGCATCGAGTTGGACGTGCGTGTCCACGGGAGACGCCATAGTGCTTCTACGTGGATTATGACATTTCACGTTGAAAATATGAACGCATGTATTTCACATCAGGGACAAGATAGAGGGAAAATGTCGACTACGAGCAGCTTCTCATCAGAACCGAGTTGAGATAACGTGTCAGAAAGCGTGGCTCTAAAAGTCAGACACTGATACGCACGTGATGATCGCCGTCACACTCGTAACAAACAACAAACAGAAAATAGGATCAATTTAATAAAGGATTTTTTTGTGAAAATGTTTTTTTGTTAATGTTGCTTTGGAAAAGCGGCTGCGGGGGTCGTTGCAGTAGAAGGAAGGTCCATCTGTGGACAAGGTCGGTTTACTAAGATGGACGAGAGGAGGAGGCGGGGAAGGAAGAGGCAAGAGGTGAGGAGGCAAGAGGGGATGAAGGGCGGGAGAGGTTTTAGCAACAAGGTGATGGAGGAGGCCAAATGCATAACAAAGGAAGGGAGAAGGAGACGGGAAAAAAGGGAGGGAAAGAGGAGACGGCAACAAGGAAGCGAAGGGAGGCGGCGGGGAGGAGGAACATCGCAAAGGACGGCCCTCTAAATGAGACAGAAGAGGAAGAGGAGGAGGAGGAAGCGAGGCGCTGCTTCCTACTGCGGGAGAGCTTTCAGAATGGCGTTGACCTCCTCTGCCACGGCCGTCAGCGCAAACTCAAACTGGTCCTGCAGGAGGACGAAGAGGAGGACAAGGAGAGAGGAGGTGAAACACACGGAAATTTCTTAGAACATTGCAGTTATTACTTATTTTAAACTGAGCAAAGTGGCTCCACCAAACCTTTATTTTAATATTTAGCAGTCACAAACGTCGCAGCAGGAAGAGGACGACAACAAGGACGTCTCCCCTCGAAATGTGACAAAAAGCCCCCCGAGGCCACGAGAGGAATCAATGTGTGACGGCAGTTAGCTGAGGACTCATCGTTTAATAAAGCACGGATCGATGGCATGTTGTGTACACACACACACACACACACACAACCCGGCTGGTCTTCCTAATTATGTTCTGACCAGGCTGTAAGTGAAGGTTCCATTTCCATTAAAACCATTTTTAAAACTAGGAAGGCTGGACCGGATCACAGACAGATTCAGCAGGACGAAATGAGTTTAAATAAGTTGTGTTTTTCATTCACATTCGTGTGTGTGTGTGTGTGTGCGCGTTAGTGAGTGTGTGTTACCTTGGTCCGAACCATTCCCGGCCTCTGATCCCGGAGGTGCTCCAGAGTCGCTGCAATATCAATCTCCTTGGCGCCTGTCGCACACACACACACACACACACACACACACACACACACACACACACACACACACACACACACACACACACACACACACAGAGGAACGCAGACACGTTTAACACAAGACCCGTCGTTGGACTGAGTTCAAAGCGCCTGCTTTCATACCCCCCCCACACACACACACACACACACACTGCAGCAGGTATTCGCTGTGAGTGGTAATAAAGAAAAACTTAAATAGTACTTACATCTATTATAATAACTGTAAAATACTTTATTAGCGATTTAATTAATAATATTAATTATTTTTTTTGTGTATTAACGTTAAAATGTCTTTGAGTCCGTTGTTCTTTCTTCCTCAGACTCCCCTAACAGAATAATAATTCTTATTCACAATAATAACAATAGAAAACAATAGAAAGAAAAAAAACATTTAATTTGTTGTCTCATCTTCTAAAGGGAAACCGAAAAGCACAAGAATCCTCTGGGCTTCTTTGTCGTTGTGAAACATACTAACGATTCCCTCTCTGGGCTGCATGGGGGGGGGGGGCTCATTCAAACAGTCTTCGATTATTTAGTTTTTGGTCTTTTTAGAATACAAAAGACTCTTCTGGCCAGAAAGGATGCAACACACTACTCACTGCTTTCGTAGGAGGGGAGGGTGGTGGGGGTGGATGTGGGGGGGTGGGGGGCGCTTTAACAAGCCGAGGGCCATTGTGCAAGTTCGGCTAAAACTCTAAAGAGACGGTATTATTGCAAAACTTGAAGAAGATGGTTGAAGGCGTGAAAAGAAAGACGGAGGAATGGTGGAAAAACTCAGCCTCCCTCCTCTGTAAGAGCCTCGCTTCAGGGTGGAGGTCGAGGAGGAAGGGGGCGGGGTGCGGGGGGGGGGGCTATAGAAGAAAAGAATGAGTAAAGTAAAAGAAAGACGGAGCCCTTGAGGAGGCCGCAAACAAAAAAGCAAAGTGAAGCTGAAGGCCGAGCACACAGACTGGACCTGAAAAACCCAGAAAAGAAACAAAGATTGTGAAAAGCTCTCGGCTTCATTCCATTCTTCAGGAGGTGGGGGGGGGTGGAGGTGGTGGTGTGAGGGGAGGGGGGGAATAAAACGTGAGAACTACAGCAACATCTCGTGGAAACACCGACAAAGATCTGAGGCTAAATTCACAATCCAGTGAGAGAGAGAAGGAGCGGGGGGGGGGGGGGGGAGGCTGCAGACAAAAAGCTCCATCTATCAGGTGGAGCAGAGCTGAGAGGAGATTTGATGAAGCTGAGCTCAGTAGAACTGCGACCCCCCCACCTGAAAACGGTTCCTGTTGCCTCCAAGATAAGATGAATGACACATCATGACGTGAACAACATTCACGTACACACACACACACACACACACACACACACACACAAATCTACTCCCACCCCACCCCGCCCCTCTCAGCCCCGCCCCTATCAGACCCGCCCCTATCAGCCACGCCCCTCGCGGACCCGCCCCTATCAGACCCGCCCCTCTCAGCCCCGGCCTTCCCCGCCCCAACGGCTCCGATGGCCCCGATGACCCGACTGACCCTTTGATATGGAAATAAAGACCCAGGAGCTCGTTCTGCTACAGCACCACCATGGGGCCCTTGCCCCCCCACCCCCTCCACCCTGCCCCTCCACCCCCTCCACACCTTAAAATAATCACTTTAATTTAACGTAAGCTCAAGGACAGAAGTACAAATAAACCGCAGCACCCACCTTTGGCCATCTTGTTGAGCACCATGTCGATCAGGACGTAGGTGCCACTTCTTCCGGCTCCGTCACTGCTCGGGGAGGCAGGTGGGGGGGCAGGGGGGGACCAGCAGACACAATGGAGGAGAGGGAGAAAGAAGTAGTAATTAGAGGATATTGTGTTTTCTAGAACCCAGCTTCTTCTATTTTGCTCATTTGTTTCAGGGTAATAAAGATGTCCGTCATCATCACGCTTTCATTGGAGACCCGAAGCAGAAACACGGATCTTATCGACTCATCACACGTTATCGAGCTTTTCTGGAAAATACCACTTTCCAGATGGAACCTTCTTACCGGGGTCTTAAAGTCGGTCGTTGCTCTCAGGGAACATGAGCACGCTCCGTTCCCTGGACACCCAGAGACCCCCCCACAAAGACTTTAAGCACGTCATCTAAAGCTATTTCAAGGAGGATAAGATACTTCAAAGGCAAAAATAATTACGGAACAGAAACCAATTCTTTTTATTTTGGTCGGGAATTAGCGTCAGAATAAAAACCTGCTAAACAGCAGCGCCGGGCTTTTATTTCTTATTTGAGATGTAAACGCATGTTCATCTATTCTAACAAAAAACTGTCAGAATGCAGTTACTAAATCTTATTTAGGCCTATTTACGGCGGGGGGGGGGGGGGGGGAGTCAGAAGATCATGAGGACTGTCACACTCTTAAACCCTTTCACAATAAAAGCCCTGGACAACTCACATAACATTCACACACTATCATTTGGCTTTTTCTTTTAAAATAATATTACATAATAGGACAGACAAAGTCTGAAATAAATAGAAATGATCTCACACACACACACACACACACAGTGCGCCTCGTCCTGCGGAGGCATTGTCGCCTCCTTAATGGACATTTTGTATCCCAGATTCATTTCAAGAGAAGAAAATTGATGTCTGCACCCGACCATCTCTATTTCATGGGCTGCTGTGTAATTCAGCAAAGTGTGTGCGTGTGTGTGTGTGTGCGTGTGTGTGTGCGCACATCTGTGTGTGGCAGCTGGCATGCGTCCACACTTCCTGAATATTTCATTTTACTCAGGCCGCGGTTATTTTCTCACAGCTGTACATTCTGCCACACCTGTGGCTGTAGTAGAGCCACACCAGCACAGTGTGTGTGTGTGTGTGTGTGTGCGCGTTCTGAACAGGTCCTATCACTCTGATCTCAGGTAGTGCGTGTGTGTGTCTGTTGTATCGCTGCAACCTTTCCAGCATCATTACAAGACGATCAAAGATACGTGTGTGTGTGTGTGCGTGTGTGTGTGTGTGTATGTGTGTGTGTGTGTTCGCCTAAGGGCTGTGAGAAAACACGTGAAGACGTCTGCTACCTTCTCACTCTTTTTAAAATGAGACTGAGACGCAGACACGGTTTTAAATGGTCCTCCATCCTCTGATGAGTAATAATGAATTATCCAATATATATATATATATATATATATATATATATAGATACACACACACACACACACACATATATGTATATATATGTTTGAGTTCCTGTGTATGTGTGTATGATGGTTCTGCTCTGGATGAACACGACAAAGCAAAGAGTTTTATCACGTCATAATAATAATAATATTACATCACTGAGCGGAGCAGCGAGTTGATAAGATTTTTTTTTGTTGCGACATGTTTCTGTGGCACTTTTTATTTTCTATTCCGTACCGATTCAATTATGTCTCAGTGGTCTGGAGTTATTTCCTCAGGTGGTGGTGGATAACACACACACACACACACACACACACACACACCCTGCCTCCCCTCCTCCGTGGACAGTCTGTCACCATTAAATCTGGACTTTTGGGATAATGTCTCATGTGAAATGTTTGTCTGCCTGAAGCCATTTGGAGAAAAGCAGAGAGAGGAAGTGTAAGTTGTGTGGGTGTGTGGTTGTGTAGTCGGGATCGTACTCGCCTGCAGTGGACTATGATGGGACACGAGCGTCCCCGGTAGCACTTGTTAACTTTTCTGTAAAAAAAAAACACAGAACAGAGAAGAAAAAAGTTCAGTGATCATCACACAGACAAACTTCACAGGTCTTCTTGTTCTTTGGTTTTAGTATTAAAAGCGATCATTCATCCTTCTGTCTTCCTGTTGGTACACAATCGGTCCCTGTGGCTCACAGCGGTTTATTAAAACGCTTCAGGTTTTAAAGCTCCGTATGAACTTCTTCTGATGGAAACAACCTGCTTCCAAAACGCTGAAATGACCTTTTGACCCTGAAAACCAACGACACAAAGCCTTCCTCTAAAGAATGAAACCATCCCGTCGCCGCATGTTATTATTTCACAGCAGACGAGACGGCGTCACGTCTTCCTGCGGGTTGCGCGCGAGGACACCTGGAGTCACGTGTCCTCTTTTCAGAGCACGGCGGCGCGAACGCGACGCATCGTCCATCAAAACGCATCAAACCCAGCGGATGTGCAAATGGATACATTCATTCATTTATTAACAATGACGTAAAATATGTTTGGATATTTTTTCCCCGTGCCCTCGTTTAGTAACGAGGTTACAGTAAAGTAAATGAGGACGATCCACAAAAAAAATAAAAAAAATAAAATCAATCAACGAATTTCTAGAACAAGAACCGTTGGTGCTAAATTAAAAGCATGTGCATGTAAAGCTCCACCCACGCTCAAAAGTCAGAGCTCGCTGCAGACAATTAAAAAGGGGCGTTACCATGGAAACAGCCGACGGAAAAATCCCCAACCGGAGACTCAAAGCAAACGCCCCCATGCCCCCCCCCTCCCCCCCAAAAGAGAGACAGACAGACATAAGGAGAGAAAAGAGAGACACCGATAGATGGAGACGAAGAAGAGTCACATCAATCATATTCTTATCTCATGGTGTGTGTGTGTGTGTGTGTGTGTGTGTGTGTGTGTGTGTGCGTCCTGTCTAAAAAAGGTCTCCTCCTAAACACAAACTAAGGTGCTGCAATGAGAAGCTGGAGTTTGGTGGAAAACCTCCCGCAGGAGGAGGACGGGTTGGACTGAGATCTGCAGAGAGAGAGAGTTCCCAGGAGTCAGGGGTCATCAAGAAGGACAGATAGAAGGACATAAGAGACAGACAGCGGGGTTGGGGACGAGGACGGGGACGGGGGGGACAAAAGCCAGAGACGAAGGGGAGGCGTGGCGAGAGAGGAAGGGGTCAGTCAAGCAAACCATGAGCACGAGGGGGTCATCTCAGGTCACCGGGCACAGCGAGGAGCGAGAGGAAGGAGAGCAGAAGAAAGGGTGGGGTGAGGGGGGGTATAAGGGTGGAACGGGGGGACGTGGGGGGGGGGGGGCTTGGTTGCAGAGTCGCAGTCTCCAATGATCACTTTTGTGACTATGCAACTGGGCTCATATTACTAGCTGCAACATCACAAAAATGACACTGGCAACCGCTCGTTAGCCGGTAAAAGACGGAGGGGCGAGAAGAGGGGGGGAGGGTGGGGGGGCAATGCCGCGGCTCAGTCAGTTGTAAGTGAGGTTAAAGAGGCAGCGGTCGGCTGGCGTCTTCCTACCGCCGATGTGGGCGAAAAAGGAAGGAGGGGGCGCGGGGGGGGTGATCGAACCATGTCCGAGGTAATAAAAGTGAAAAATATCTCCCTATCGTCCTTCTTCATTGTTTTCTGACCCCAATGCCCTGTGAGTGTCGGCAAGATCTCCTAACCAATGGCGTGTGACCGCCAGCCCTCCCGCCCCCCCGACACCCACCCTCAGTTTTGTTGTATAACAGCCGGAACCACATGCTCTCACTCTCGATTTCTCACCTAATGGAGCACGGAGACACATTTAGAAAAAGACGAGGTGGGGTCCATCGCTGAAGAACATCACTCAAAGGGGTGGGGGGGGGGGGCATAATGGCACATAATAGTCAGTAAATCAGTTTGCAAGAGGTCAAAGGAGGGAAGGATCGGAGGAGGATTGAGGGAGAGGGGGGGGGGGGGGTCACGAGACACAGCTCCTGGAGAAGTGAGAGCTTTGAAGTTCACTGCGGCGACTCAGAGGTCACCGTGAGACATTCAGCTGTGGGGGGGCGCAGAGTCTTTTTGTATATTCCTGCTGGAGGACTCCATTCAGAATAAGAGCGCGGCTTAGTTTTACCAATGCAGACACCATGTGAGCCAAGAGGCTCTTTTGAGAAAAGGGACTTTTCTTTCTCGCTCTGGAAAATAATCCTGTATCAAAGTGTATTTTCTTCCTTTTCCTGAGGCCTCTTTCAGGAAGCGTTTCCTCAAACCTCAGCGAGTTTACTACCAACGTTAAACGCAGCCTTTAGTGCTTAATGTACTTCCAATGACAGAGCTCAGTGCGTAAAATCCTAGAAAAAACAACCTCTCAGCCAGTAAAGAGAAATATGCCTCCTCCTCTCCTGAGTACTGGGGGCTTTGTGCGGGGCACAGTTGGGGGGGGACCGGAGGGGGGGTCCGTTCCCTACCTGCGGAAGTCGAGCAGCGTGCGGCTGGTCTCGGGGGCGCTCTGGTTGAGCCACGTCAGGAAGTGGAACTGAGTGACGGTCCGCGTCTCGTTGGTCTGCATGTTCTTCAGGTAGAAGCTCCGGACCAGAAAGTCGTCGCACCAGATGTGTTCGGACACCAGGTTCACCTGCAAGGACGCGGCCGTGAGCTCAGCTGGTAGGAGACGCACACGGGGTCACAGTGTGGGCGGCTCATTCTTTGACCCCTACCTCGTAGATGTGGTACAGGTTGGAGCCCTCGTCGGGCCAGTAGTGGTAGCACTGCTTCACACCGCTCTCCACCAGGGGGGTCAGCATGACGATGACCACGCAGCCGTTCTCCCACACCATCTGCACACAGAACGCCGGCCACGTCAGCCCGCTGGACCGATTCCCCCCCTCTGCAAAACGAAGCCGCTGACGCCATCAAAAAATCTATGGTAGTATAGTGTAGTACCATTTAGAATAGTGTTTCAATCTCTCCTCTTTTTCTGCTTCTACCTCTGCTGCCAAAAGCTTTTTCTACCAATCTAGGAAAAAACTTTCTCTAACCCATCTCATATTACTTGTACTTCCCTCTTTCACCCCCGTCTCCTAACCAAGTTTTTACCTTAGTAACCTCTGCCCATGCGACCACCTGCCCTCTTGCCCCCATTCCATCCTGTATCCTACAATCTATCGCTCCTTACCTTCTTCCTTTCCGTAACAACCTCCTTGACCCCCACCAGTCAGGCTTCAAGGCAGGCCATTCCACAGAGACTGCTCTCCTCGCGCTCTCAGAGCAACTTCACACTGCAAGAGCCGCCTCCTTTGTCCTCATCCTTCTGGACCTTTCTGCTGCATTTGACACAGTAAACCACCAGATCCTTATCTCCTTCCTTCATGAACTTTGTGTCTCAGACTCGGCTCTCTCACTTCTCTCATCTTACCTTGATGGCCGCACCTACCGAGTAACCTGGAGAGGATCTGTGTCAGAGCCATGTCCTCTTTCTACTAGAGTTCCTCAGGGTTCCGTCCTGGGTCCCCTCCTCTTCTCGCTCAACACAAACTCTCTCGGCGCTGTCATTTGCTCGTATTGGCTTCTCCTACCACAGCTATGCCGATGACACCCAACGAATTCTCTCCTTCCCTCACTCAAACACTCAGGTGGCGGTGGGGATCTGTGCCTGTCTGACTGACATCTCTCAGTGGATGTCTGCTCACCATCTGAAAATCAACCTAGACAAGACTGAACGACTTCTCTTTCCGGTAAAAGGTTCTCCTACACAGGAGTGTGAACCCGACTGTTCACTTTGGCAGCTCCGTATCAACGGCCACTGCTATGAACCTCGGTGTGACACGCAACAGTCAACTCTCCCTGACTCCCAACATCACTGCGGCAACACGATTCTGTAGATACAGGCTCTAAAACATCAGGAGAATACGTCCCCTTCTCACTCAGAAGGCTGCCCAGGTACTGATTCAGGGTCTCCTGCCTGGACTACTGCAACTCCCTCCTGGCAGGTCTCCCTGCTACCGCCATCCGACCTCTGCAGCTCATCCAGAACGCAGCGGCCCCGCTCTGCATCTGCAAAACTGCTCGACTAGATCACGACTCTTTTGCTGTCCTAAATGGTGGAACAAGCTTGTTTCCTTATGGTTGAAATGCAGTTATTGTAAGTTGCTTTGGATAAAAGTGTCAGTTAATGACATGCAATGTAATGTGTAGTACTATTAGTGTAGTATCTTGAGGGCCATTTGGCTCAATCAGCTGCCGTTACCGGAGGCCATAAAACAACGGCGCTCTGACATTGGCACGATGACCATCAAGATGGCCACGTCCTCGCCGCTCGCACTGCGCTCAAGGCCACTCGGCCTCCCTGATTGGTCGCAGGGATCCAATGATGTGACGCACTTTGTTCTTCCAATATTGAGAAACGGTCTGAAGAAAGAAGTCTGGTTTGTTAAAATACAAATTTTATTGAAACTGTTATTTATTCAGGAAATGAAAACATGGCTTTTTTTATAAGACGCGCGGCGTAAAATTACACTGTTACATAAATTAACTCGTTGTCCCTTTAGGCCTTTTTCCTTTGCGAAATACTAATAAACTTAGAGCGAAACGAACACACTGCAACAGTTGAATGTTAGTTTCAAATATCAAACTCACAAATGAAGCTTCAAAGCTTTAAACTATGGGGAAGTTATTAAACCAGGTGGACGTGGAGGTGTTACTATTGTACACACACATCTAACAGCATTCAACCTTTTCTTGTTAAAGACGCTGTTAACTAACCTGTATAGATAAAAGATGTCTGTTTTACTTCTGCTGAGTGCTGAATCTACAGATTTCTCTCCCAGACGGTAACCAGAGCTACTGGGAATGCAAAAGAGAACGAACACCCACACACACACACACACACACACACACACACACACACACACACCCTACTCACTGCGCATACAAATAGGCCCTGACCGGCCAGAATAAGTCATCGATCCGCCGGTCTCATTTCAACATCTGGGTCAGTGTTGTCCCATGCATTAACACAATGTGTCCCACTGTGGACCGGTGTGTGTGTGTGTGTCTGTGTGTGTGCAGTGGAGGCGTTGAAGGTCACTGAGCGCGATGGTAAAGGGGAGATTAATAACGGCATCTACACAACAAGCTGGTCTCCCCGCACGGCTCGCGGCGCTAATAAATCGGTTAGCTCTTGTTTAAGGGAGGAGACGCCATTGATTTTTTGTCCATGCGTGTGTGTGTGTGTGTGTGTGTGTGTGTGTGTGTCTTTACCTGCCAGAAATCCGCCACAGTGGAGGGCAGCGGGCCTTGAGTGGCGATGTAGGCCGGGTTCCTGGGATCGTGGTCCATCTGAGGGCAGAGGAGATGATGTGACGACTATTAATCATTTTAATTTGCTGCCAAACTATTGCAGGGGGATTTAAATAAGATCAGGAGGCGAGTTCATGCTGTGCGTTCAAGAACGTGAGTATTAAATGATGCACGGGTCAGTTTAACTTTTTCTCAAGTTCATCCCTCCAAAGGAGGACGTGCTACGAGATGCATTTTACATTTTTTGTGACCATATGAATCAGATTTAAAGTTATTGGACCTTTGAGAGAGGGGAAAGCAGCGCAAAGTCGTTATAATGACATTTTAATAAAACATTGAGTTTCTGTTTAATCAGAAGAAGTCTTCTTTTCTGTGTGGGGAAGACGTGAGCTATAAATCCTTTCAAAACAGGCTGCACGGTTCTATGAGAACTGAGATAAAATGAGAAGTGAGAGGGCAGCAAACCGATAAAGCCGTATAAATAAACGTGTTCCAGCGAGAAGCTCTCGCCTCCACGCTGAAGGGAAGCGTGGAGACGATCCAGTGCTCTGCAGCCAGTTTTGAGCCTCAGTGCGTCCTGATGACAAACACGAAGACACCGTTACAACCCCAAGTCGCTTTGCAAAAAAGGCCTCTTCTGTCTCGCTCCCTCTGTGGAAACATCTTCATCCTTCTGGGTGGGAGTCTTTCTCATCCAACTTGGTGGATGTTACAGAGGGCGTAGGCGTCAAGAGCGGCGCGACGGGAGACGGACGTGAGGTGAATTTGCGAGGGAAGTGAGTGACACTCCTGCCTATTACCATGCAAATTGTACGCTAAATGTAATGATTGGGAGGACCAATTTAGCTGGAAGCAATCACAGTGGGAAGACGGATAATTTCTGGGGCTTTTCCTGCTCACAAAATTGTCTTTAATGGTCCTCTGTTCCCATTTCTGAATGCCAAACAATGAATGCACTTCCAATTAATTTAAAATGCGGCGACTTAGCGCCAAAAGAAGGTCACGTGGCACCGAGGAGCACTCATTAAAACCTCCAGACGGAAAATCACGTAGTGGCAAAGAAACATCCAGAGGCGAGATGTGAGCTTTGGAGACATCTGAAGATGTTCGGAGGGTCACACCCACACGGTGCACAGCCCAGAGAAGGTCCCACTTGGTCTCAAATCGATAATGTCCAAGGAGGACGCTGTTTGTAACGCGCCTACTTCAGTAAAGGCACCTTATTGGTCAACTGAGTCCAAAGTCACCCCGACCAAAACGATCCTCTTCAGCTAAACTTCACCGAGTAGTTTGGATGCATAAACCAAAGTGAGAAGTTTTACCTTGAAAAGAATTGCATGTCTGCATGTACAGTATATGTATGCATGTATGTCTGCAAGTATGTACCATGAATTTATGCATGCATGCATGCATGTATGAGTTTAGGATTTCTTTTAGTAATAAAGATATGTGTTCTAATCCAGTCTACATACCTGTGTGTATATATAAATAAATAATAAAATGTCCGCTGTGGTTCACGGTGGTGTTAAAAGAGAAGGAGCAGGAAGGACGGAGAAGGAGAAACAAACTGAGATGAATCGAGACGAAGAAGAAAAGAAGAAGAAACCTAGAAATGGACGAGGAGGAGAGAAAGAGGACAATGGAGGACGGGCAGACACGTCTCTGCGTCTTCTCTTCAATCTCTGTGGAGAGACGCTTCCTGACATCTCAAGGTGTCTCCAGAATGAAACCCGACATTAACGACATCAGACGTCTCGCTTCCTCTCGGACACGCCCCCCTCGTCAATTAGGCACAAAGATGGCGGCTGTGACAAAAGCAATTATCCGCCATCCTCTTCTCATGTGTGTGTGTCCTTTTCTTTAGAGGAACCAAAGAGTCCGACACCCCAGTGACACACTCGCTGCTAGCTGCACAACCAGAGAGTTGTGTTAAAGCGGTTGTGTTGCTTTAACACAACTGCTTTGTTTCATATTTTAGAGTTAATGTAAAATAATGGAAGAATAAACTGGGAGAGTTTTCATTTCGTTTTTTGTTTTATGGAAACATTATTCTGTAGAAAACAAGGTTGCATGACAAAAGTAATTTATTTAAACCCTGATAATTTAGATGAAAGACCAATGGTGAAATAAATAAACAAAAAGGACGTTTTGACAGTTATTTGCAGTTGAATCCGCAAAGTTGATTTAAAACTAAATAAAGTTGAATTGAGGATCCGGCTTCAGAATCTGGCGCTTTTAGTTTGAAGAGACAGAACACTGTTTCATACTTCCTTTCTTTCTTCTGTAGGGACTCGTTTAAATGATTAATCAAAAGAAGTCAATTTAACTGTCAATAAGAGCTGCGAGGCTGATTGAAAGTCAGTGCAGTCGGCACGAGTCGTGCATCACAATGAGTGTGCGTGTGAGTGATTGAGTGTATGCATGATTGAGTGCTACCTGAGTGATTGATTACGTCTCAGTGTGTGTGTGTGTGTGTGAAAGGAAACTATTGACTGTTCTGGACTAATTGTGTGTGTGTGTGTGTGTGTGTGTGTGTGTGTGTGTGCCAGAGGGGAAAGCAGGTGATTGATTGTGTTTGTGAGTAACTTTGTGAAACTGACTGACTGATCGTGAAAAAAGGTTCAGAACCTACGAAAAGATGACGTCGCGTCCCAACGGGGGATTCATCTTAGTTCATTTTGGCTCGGCCAATCAAACGCAGACGCAGCAGCGAAGCTCCTTCTCGGGACCTCTGGAGATGCCCTCAGCTTTGAAGTTCAGTCCGGGAGGCGGACGGCTGAACTACCACAACCTCTAGCGGCGCTGGTTATCGGTTGCCTAGTAACAGCATTTAGGCAAGCGAATACCAACGAGATGAGCTCTTCACCCTCGGGTCGTGTCACAGAGGCGGGACGTCGTGGTTAACGGTCCCGCCTGAAGGGGCCGTTACGACCTCCACCCCATCAAACAAACATCAGCATCCGAAACGCCCCCACAGCTGTAAACGAGCCTGCTGGCTTCACCTCCATCTGCTGCTCGCAGGAAGAACATCTGATGAGGAAGTGAGCGAGCAACATTTAGGAGGACTTTAAATTACGCACTTTAGCTGATTCATGGAGGCCGTGCGTTCGCTCGCACAGGCGGCGTCCGGCTGGTTAAACGACGTCCCTCCGTCCAGTCTTTCAGGGTTCTTTACTGCGCTGCTCTTAAAGGTCTCAGTCAAATTATTTTACTTTTTCAACGTCTTTGAACGAAACACAAAACACACGCCGATAACTTGTTTGGGTTTTCTGCTCGTCTTCTGGTGGGAGGCGCCTTAAATAACCTCAGTGGACATTTTCATACATTTGATGTGTGTGTGTGTGTGTGTGTGTGTTGTGGGAGATACAAGATCAGTGATGCTTCTCTCGTGTGTGGGTGTCTGGGTCTTCGAGGGATGGGGGGGG